GGATTTGCTCGAACTCGAAATAAGGTAGCTCTTGGGCTTTGTAGTCGATTGAGAATGATTTCTCTAACCCGAAGTATTGGTAGCCCTTGGGGTTAATGGTCGAGTGAGGATTTGCTCGAACTCGAAATAAGGTAGCCCTTGGGCTATGTAGACGAGTGAGAATGATTTCTCGAACTCAAAGTAATGGTAGCCCTTGGGCACGATGGTCGAGTGAGGACTTTGTCGAACTCAAAATAAGGTAGCCCTTGGGCTTTGTAGTCGAGCGAGAATGATTTCTCGAACTCGAAGTAATGGTAGCCCTTGGGCTCAATAGATAATCCCCGAGTGAGAATGATTGTTTGAACTCGAGTCAGGATAGCCCTTAGGCTTTATCGTCGAGTAAGGATTTGCTTGAACTCAAAATAAGAGTAGGCCATAGGATTAATGGTCGAGTGATGATTTTCTCGATATAAGAGTAGCCCTTAGGCTTAATGGTCTGGTGAGGTCTTGCTCGAACTCGAAATAAGGTAGCCCTTAGGCTTTGTAGTCGAGTGAGAATGATTTCTCGAACTCGAAGTAATGGTAGCCCTCGGGCTTTAAGGTCTAGTGAGGACTTGCTCGAACTCGAAATAAGAGTAGCCCTTAGGCTTAATGGTCGAGTGAGGACTTGCTCGAACTCGAAATAAGAGTAGCCCTTAGGCTTAATGGTCGAGTGAGGACTTGCTCGAACTCGAAATAAGGCTGCCCTTGGGCTTTGTAGTCGAGTGAGAATCATTTATCGAACTCAAAGTAATGGTAGCCCTTAGGCTTAATAGTTGAGTGAGGATTTGCTCGAACTCAAAATAAGGTAGCCCTTGGGCTTTGTAGTCGATTGAGAATGATTTCTCAAACTCGAAGTAGTGGTAGCCCTTGGGCTCAATGGTCGAGCGAGGACTTTCTCGAACTCCAAATAAGGTAGCCCTTGGGCTTTGTAGTCGAGTGAGAATGATTTCTCGAACTCGAAGTAATAGTAGCCCTCGGGCTTTATGGTCGAGTGAGGACATGCTCGAACTCGAAATAAGAGTAGACCTTAGGCTTAAGAGTCGAGTGAGGACTTGCTCGAACTCAAAATAGGTAGCCCTTGGGCTTTGTAATCGAGTGAGAATGATTTCTCGAACTCGAAGTAATGGTAGCCCTTGGGCTTGATATATCCATAGAAATCGGATGCGATAAATTATTGGAGGGACCTCTTTTTATTCTTGTATGAAATAATCTTACCTGCGTACATGTTTTATGCTTAAGGCTTGAGCAATCTACGCGGACCTGGTTCATTTGACCGTTCGCCCCATACAATAATCTTGTTTTCTCGAGGACCTTTTATTGTAAATCTTTTTGTAGCCTTCCAGCTGATATCCGAGGGTGACAGCCCCTAGTATTCGAGGTTGATCAGATAGAGAAGCCTCAGATACTGATGACACAACATTTAACACTGAATCGCTGTTCTAAGTTACCTACAATTGTTAGTTTTGAAGCATCAAAAAAAGAAACGAACGGGTGCCGTACCTCAGTAGTAGTATCGCTTTTATGTGAGTTACGTTCCAATTATTAGGCCCGATAGTCTTGGTGCTTCTCTAGGCCTGACGGGCCTGTCGAAGTCGTTTTTGGTCATGACCCCTGATTATTTCGACCTTGATCATTTCTTTTTTTTGTTTCTCACATGGTTCCGACCGGGTCCGCTGCTCCTCCGATCTTTATTATATGACCGATATCAATCCCTGCTTGACCCTGGACCACGATCGGTGTCTCTCTTGGTTCTTTCTAGGTTCCAGGCTAGATAAATAGACTCCGAAGGGACTCCGAACTGACCATCTTTGACTCTGATTTTCGATTGATACCGATTGTGCACATCGGCCCATGTAGTGGCAGGGTATTCTATTAAGTTTTGCTTCAATTATCGTGAAGCCATCGAGCTTCGTTCATTCAGTCCTTGAGTGAAAGCTTGAACAACCCAAGCATCTATGACTGGTGGTAGATCCATTTGTTCCATTTGGAAACATGATACGAACTCTCTTAGCATCTCTTTATCTTTTTGCCTTACCTTGAAAAGGTCTGACTTCCTGGTCTCGACTTTTATGGCTCCGGCATGTGCCTTTATGAAAGAATCTGCAAGCATAGCAAAAGAATTGATAGAGTTAGGCGGTAAACTATGATACCATATCATTGCCCCCTTTGACAGGGTTTCCCCGAACTTCTTCAATAATACGGATTCGGTCTCGTCGTCTTCTAGATCGTTCCCTTTAATGGCACATGTGTGACATATTCGTTGGGGTCGGTCGTCCCATTATATTTAGGAATTTCGGGCATGCAGAACTTCTTGGGAATCGATTTGGGATCCGCGCTCGGGGGAAAGGCTTTTGTATAAATTATTTTTGGAATCCAAGCCCTTCAATACTGGTGGTGTCCCCGGGATATGATCAACCTTGGAGTTATAAATTTCTACTTTTTTGTCGTTTGCTTCAATCCTCTTTTCTCCTGACTTAATTCGTTTTGTCAGTTCCTCGAGCATCCTAATAATTTCTGGATTAGTCCCTGATTCTTGTTCATTTGATCTTACTACAACTGGCCCCGTTTTGTGGGTGACTTCTCGGAGTGGACCGGGCTCGGCTCTGCTCGGTGCCTGGGTTTGGCTCTGCAACTGAGTTATTGCTACCTGTTGAGCTTGTAACATTTTGAAACTCATACGCAGGCTGATGCCGTCTTCTCCAACATTTTTGGTATTTCGAACTGTAGATCGAGTTCCCCCATGAATGTTGTTTTCGTGGTTGGAACATTGGTTCGCCTTGATGGACACATGTGAATTAACGTCAATTGGATCCGCAGCCCGAGTTCCAACGGGATCGACGAGTGGCCTTTCATCCTTGGTCGTCAGGTTGTTGTTCTCATCTTGAAGGCCAACTTTGTTGTTGATATGTAGGGCCATTAATTGAGAGTTCGTCGTTTTTAATGAATACAAATCCAATTTAAGTAAAGAATGTGTGATAAATGAACAATATGAATCAATATCCAAAGCCCAAAAAAGGATAATATTTTCTTATTTGTGTGTAAATCTCAATAATCCCTGAATGTCAGAGTGTATGAATGTCTGAATGGATCCCTTTCACAAATGATAGCCACTCTTAATATAGTGGATGAATTCTACTTTTGGGTATAATTAAAAATACATAGTGGGGATCCCATGATAGATTAGTTAATTAGTTTTTCCTTGATTTCCACCGAGATTCTCTTCCCTAGTGCGGCTACAATGGCTCTTTGTCTCTTGGCTCGATTTCGATCTTGGTTGGTCTCGATATTGGTCGGTCTCTGGGTCTCGAGCTTGATATTGGCTCGAGCTCGATCGATCTCTGGGACTTGAGCTCGATTTTGACTCGAACTCGATATTGATTCGAGCTCGATATTAATCGGTCTCTAGGTCTCAATATCGATATTAACTCGAGCTCGGTATTGATCGATCCCTGGATCTTGAACTCGATAGCCCAACTTCACATCACAGCTCGATATTATAATGACGACACTCGGTCCATCATGCTCTAATCTTGACTAATTACACGAAAGGCAAACTCGGTTTTGACCGTATACACTGTTAAAGTTCTATTTCAAAATTATTTTTTGAAATCCTTTTCTGTAGTTCCTTGAAAGAAGGGGTGGGGGTTGACGTTGTTGCCTTGTTAAGACCTTTGAGAAAGCATTTCTTTTTTTCTCATTCTTCTACTTTAGTTTTACAACCTGGTTGCCAAAACAAGGAACATGCAAATTTTAAAATTACTAAAAACAAAAATAACTATATTACAAATTAAGAAATATAATACTTTTTTTTATTACTTGATTTAAGGTAGATGCATGTAGGGGCGGATCTATGTACAAGGTTCGGGGTGGTACGTCATCCGCAAGTTTCGACAAAACCCTTATGTATATATGTAAATATGTATAAGAAATAGGATATATATTTAAAGTGCCACCCGTAGAACAAAAGTGGAAAAGGTGCCAGTGGCAAATGTATACCTTTTCGTTCAGCAGGGCAAGAGTTCGAATCCAGGCGGGAGCAAATAATTTTTTGGCTTACATTCAGTTGCAATTTAAGGAAATTAAGTACACTACACATCACACCCTTCTATATTTTATAGTAAATGTTTTACTTTTCTGTTTGTTTATTTAAGTATAAACAAATAAGATAAAATAATAATAAAAGTACTCTTTATAGAATATTCTCTTATAATTAAAGGTAAAACAAAGCCCCAATTCCCCAAGTCCACTTTCCTCTTTCCCTTTCTCCAATTCTCGCTGCTTCAGCCTTCATTCACGCCACTGCTTCTGCTTCTCTGTTAGACTGTTACTGTAAGCATTTATTTTGCTTTACCTTTGCGGATGCTTCACACCTTCATTACTCACTAATCATTGCACTACGCCCACCATTGTAAAGTTTCCTCAATCCTCACCTCCTCATGATTATTTCTTAACCCTAAGTGGCTATTTTTTCCCCATCAAATATATGTTCTTGCTATATTTTTGTTTTGTATTTAGTTGGATATTAGTGTTCTTGCTAAACTTTATTGTCACTATTTTGGTTTTTTTGTTATGTATTTCTTTGGTTGTGTTTGAAAATCAAACGCCTCTTAAATGGCTTCACTATAGAATTTAAAATAACTAAACTTATTGATGGTATGACCTGGTAGAAATTGTTCTATATTTCTCACTGGAATGAACTTCTATTTTATAGGAATTGATTGAGATGGATAAATTTGTCACGAGGTTGGACCATTCTCAACCAAGTCCTAGTTGTCAATCCTTGATCCAAGCGAATGCCAATCATTCCTATCTTATAAATGAACTCGATTTGGGGTCACTTAAAGGCGATCTGGGAGAAAGAATACCTATTGTTGACTATAACCCTAGAATACGAGATGCAGTAAAGAAATATTACATTCAACAAGGTCCTTGTCAACCTTCCAAGCATCAATTTTCCAAAACTCAAAATAGGAGGAAGAATGCATCAATTTGTTCCAAGTTGGTTCAATGGTCAATTTTCTAAATGGTTGGAGTATAGTGTGAAGAAAGATGTGGCATTTTTCTTATGTTGTTATTTGTTCAAAAATGAATTTATTCATGGAAGTGCGGGTGAATTTTATACAAAAAATGGTTTTAGGTCTTGGAATAAGAGTCTTGAAAGATTGCGTTTACATGTTGGTGATGTTAATAGTGTCTATGATAAATGTTTCAAGAAGATGCTAGATTTATCAAATCATCATCAATCAATTCAAGTTGTTTTTGATAAGCACTCCGAGAAGTTGAAAAGTGAGTATCGAATGCGTTTAGAAGCATCAATTGATGTGGCAAGACTTCTATTGTTGTATGGATTGCCTTTTAGGGGCCATAACGAAAGTGAATCTTCAACAAATCAAGGCCTCTTTCTAGGATTCTTACGATGGCATGGGGACAAGCATCCGGATGTGGGAAAAGTAATATTAGTAAATACTCCACAAAATGGTACTTTGACTTGCCCTATGATCCAAAAGGATATTATCAATGCTTCTGCCAAAGAAACATTAAAGGCTATAATTGGAGACTTGAATGGAGATTATTTTGGTATATTAGTTGATAAGTCCAAAGATATCTCACACAAAGAACAAATGGATCTTGTTTTGCGTTATGTTGATAAAAATGGTGAAGTGGTAGAGCGATTTGTTGGTCTTGTCCATGTTAGTGATACATTGGCATGCTCATTGAAGAAAGCAATCTACTCTTTTCTTTCGGGCCACTTACTAAGTCCGTCTCAAATACGTGGACAAGGTTATGATGGAGCTAGTAACATGAGGGGAGAGATAAGTGGTCTAAAGACTTTGATTATGAAAGACAGCTCGTCGGCATATTACATTCATTGCTTTGCTCATCAATTGCAATTAACACTTGTAGCTATGTCTAAAAAGCATTTGGATGTCAAAGACTTCTTTTGTCATGTTACTAATGTGTTGAATGTCATTGGAGTATCTTTTAAGCATAGAGATTTGCTTCGCCATCTTCAAGCTGAAAAACTGGAGCAATTACTTGAGTCCGGTGAAATTCATACCGGGCGAGGACTAAATCAAGAACGCGGGCTTCAAAGACCAGGTGATACTCATTAGGGATCACATTTCAAAACATTAGATAACTTTATTGTTATTTTCTCATCTATTATTCGTGTGCTTGAAGTGATTGAACATGAAGGTTCTACCTTAAATGAGAGAAATCAAGCAAAATATATTTTGAGTGAGATAATAACATTCAAATTTGTTTTTATGCTTCAATTGATGTTGAAAGTTTTGGCAATGTCAAATGAGTTGAACAAGATCCTACAAAAGAGAGATCAAGATATTGTTAATGCCATGGAGTTTCTTAACATTACAAAGAAAAGATTACAAGATATGAGGGAAACTAGATGTGAATCTTTTCTAGATGATGTTTCCTTATTTTGTCATATGCATGATATTATGATTCCCAAGATGGATGAATCCTATTTTCCTGGAAAGTCGAAGCGTAAGTCTTCTGGTATTTGTTATTCATACCACTTGCGTGTTGATATCTTTTATGCTGTAATTGATGTGCAACTTCAAGAGCTTAATGACCGTTTTGATGTAGTGAGTAGCGATTTGCTTCTTAGGATGGCTAGTTTGAATCCAGCCAATTCTTTTGCAAATTTTGATAAAGGTAGAATAATGACTTTAGCAAAATGTTACCCAAATAAGTTTGATGAAGTACACATTCGAGACTTGAGTTATCAACTAGATACTTTCATAATTCATATGCGAGTTGGCAATCCCAAGTTCTCCAACTTGCAAGGAATTAGTGATTTGGCAAAAGTATTGGTTGAGACAAATCTTGTGGAGACTTATTCGTATGTTTATTTACTAGTAAAGTTAACGCTGATTTTACCTGTTGCTACCGCAACTGTGGAGAGAGCATTCTCATCCATGAAGCAGATAAAGAATGAAGAGGAACAACATGGGTGATTAATGTGTGGCTATAATTCCAAAGTTTCGTACATTATGTGCCTTGCATTTTACATGATTTAATGATAAATTACACTTTATTTGCGCATAATGGAGTCTATTTTATGTGTTGGTGAATTGGAGATAAAGGTAGAGCAAAAGGGATACTTAAACGTTGAAAGTGTGCTCGAGAACAGTGAAAAGGAGAGACCTGGCGAGGCCAGCCAAAGGCCAGCTTAACCAGGCTTTAGCCTGGCGAGGCCAGCCAAAGTCCAGCTTAACCAGGCTTTAGCCTGGTGAGGCCAGCTAAAAGCCAGGCTAAACCAGGCGTTAGGCTGGCGACTCCATGCCTGTGGGCCAGGTCCAATCCGAGTTTTGAAGACTTAATTCGATTCTGAGTTTGACTAGAACTTGGCATACACGTTTAGATCTTTTCCTACACATATAAATAGACCTAAGAATACCACTTTTGAAGAGAGACCGAGATTAGACAGACCGAGATTGGACAGAGAGACCGACATTAGATCGGGGATTCGACCTAAGGAGGAAAGAACACATTAGGAGCAAGGTGGTGAATTCTTCTACGAGTTTTCACTTCCTTCTTCCTATTTTCATTATTGGTTATGAATTCTAATATTGTAGTTATGCATACTATTATGAATATCTAATTTGTTATCAAGGATTTTGATGGAACCTATTGGAGTATGATTTTCTTGTTATGTTAAAATACATTTGCCGTAGTATTTTCTCTATTTGTTCAACTATATTATTCTTGTGATTGATTGAAGGGCTCTCAATTAGCTGTGCCTATTTAGTATGTATTACTCGGGGGAGAGTGCATATTTAGGCAGTTGTTGGAAAAACATCACTCCTAAACGTATATAAGGGATCAATACGAAAGGTTTAAAGGTGGGATTAGGGATAACGAAACCTTGGTGCGATCTGAGTGAGATGTACTTAATGCCAGCTAGCGCAATTCGGGAAAATATGTCTAGTAAATTGTGGTAATTACTCGGGAGAGAGTTACGACAGTTAGAGTGCTCATGATCGGTAGAGAGGACTTAGGCAAATTTATAGGAAACGTAGCGGAAAGGATTCCGACAATTAGGGAAATCATAACTCTAGACCTCCTTAGTCTTGTCTAGAATTTCATCGATGTTAGTTGATAATTTTACTGCTTTATAATAGTTGTTAGTTAATTAGTTATAAATAAATATTATAATCTATATAAATAGGAAATTGTTTGGACTTGTGTTTCTTAGTAATATTGAATAGTTGTAGCTAAGCCTTAGTTCTCTGTGGGATTCAACTTCGGACTTGTAAACCGGATTATATTTGTAACGACCGCTTAGTCTTTTTTATAAGGCATAGTTGGGCGTGATCAAATTTTGGCGCCATTGCCGGGGAGCTAACGGTTTAGCTGTAGGTGTATATATTGCTAGCTTGCAAGTTTGGACTTTTATTTTTGCTTTCTTGTATTTGATTTTTTTTATTTTTGTTTTACTTGTTAATTTTAAAACCATGGCATCTTGGAATTATGTGAGTTTTCATGTTGGTAATTCTACTTTTGATCCTCCTTATGCATATAGTGGAGGAAACCACCCTTGGTAAAATTATCAAAATATTTCTGAGAGCGAGTTATGTGCACCAACTCAATCTTATGTATGGAATGTGTGTGATATGTTTGGTGGTCAAGATGGTCACTTTCATGGTTGTGTTTATATTTCTTATGTTCCCCCAACCCCTTACTTTTATGGTTCTTCTTCTTCTTGTGAAGTTAATAGGAATAAAGAACCTGGGGATGATGACCTGAAAGAGATCAAGGATATGCAAAAGTGCCTTGTGGAACAATATGATATGTTAAAATGCCTTGTGGAACAAAATAGTAAAAGACAGCTGCAGATAGAAAGGCAAAAGGAGACTATTCACAACTTGAAAGTTCAAGTGAGTCAACTGGTTGAAGATCTTAATGCTCAACAAGCCAATATTGTGAATAGTATCCAAGAAGAGCGTGAATTAGATGCAGAAATTGAGGTACCAATAGAGGGGTCCATAGTAGAACACCAAAAATCAATCAAACTAGAATTTGAGGATGTCAATGTTGTAGAAGAGATACTAGAGTCAAGCAAGGACATTGATGATAAATATTTAGTTGACTCTAGTGTCATTAGTGTTGAGGATGTAGACAATCCCAATATTCATGTAGTTGAGCGCATTGGTCCACACTCCAAGCATTTTTTCACATTGTGTTTGGATGATGATATAGAAATAGATTCATCCGAGCCACTTGAGGAGTCAAGGAATGAGGAACAAGGTGCCTACATTATGAAATTCTTCTTGCCAGAAAGTCGGGAATACACATCTTATCTAAAGGCCAAGAAGTGCATAGTATTACATTGTTTTATTGGGCCAGTGAGATTCATTCCACCACCCCAGGAGCATGATCATAGAGCATAATCAAAACTTGGGGCCCAATTCATAAGTTCAAAGTGGAGGCAGAAAGTGATTCGCGTCGTGCCGCGACGTTAAATCAAGCGCTTGTTGGGAGGAAACCCAGCTTTACTGCTTTATTTTATTTTATTATATTATTTTTATAGTGTTAATTTTTGATTTTCTAGGAGCATGGAAAGCAAAGCTATTAGAAGGATGCAACAGCAAACCAGATGGTTGGAACTAAGTGTAAGGTACTCGCACGAAGGACCAAGTCTGGGAGAAGTCTAAGTACCCCATGAATTGCTAGTGCTTCGGCCTTTGGCCTACCAAGGAGTTTCTTTTACCCTCTTATTAGTTATGATGTGCATCGGGGACAATGCGCAATTTTAAGTGTGGGGTGAGGAGATTGTCTGGGTGATTTCTATGCTATTTTAATAGTGTTAGTTTAATTAATTAATTTTTTTTCTTGAGGGATTTAAGTCTTAAAAAAAAGATTTTCTTTGTAGGTAGTGTACTAATTTTCCCTTGGTTTTTCTTTATGCCACGATTCTTTTTCAAGAGTTTTGTTTGAACCGGATGTAGTTAGTTTTATTTTTTCTAGGAATAGGAGCTAGTGTGAGATGAATTGAATTGCAGCGATATTTCTTAGGTTTGTTATGCCTTGAGAATAGTTAATATTATGGTTGTGACGCTTAGGCTCGGTTTTTGACTCTCGCATAAGTACCTTAAATTGTAGATTTCTAATTTTGCTTAACTGCTTTGACTGGAGTGTCGCGATAAAACCAATCCTGAGTGAATTATGTGCCATGTGTGTGTGAATTTTGTATGTATTCTGTGCATTGCATTTGATGTCTAGAACTTGCCTTGTGTGTGTGCAAAGCGAAATAGTAGTCTTATTCAGTGTGAGAAGTGATATAGGCATTTCTTTGTTAAGCCAGATATATATAGTTTACCCGCCTAAAAGTTATGTAACGTAGTTAACCCCTTTGAGCATGTAATATGTTTATTTGGCAACCACACTACAAGCCTTACCCAATTGTTTGAATTAGCCATCTATTTGAACCTTTTCACCTCTAATAAGCACTTGAATTGTTATGAACTTTGTAAAAGTTAAAGTATGGGGTAGTTGATTTGGTTTTTGAGTGGAACTAAGGAAATAAAGAGAAAGGTGCACTGTTTTGAAAAAGTAAGAGCCGCTTGAATTGAAAAATAAAGAAAGAAAGAAAGAAAAATAATAATAGTTGTATTGCTGGGAAAAAGAATATTCTTTGATAAGTGGCGACTCTTAATGTAATTATACTTAAAGAAATATGGGGTAATATAAATTGAAGTGAAGGTGGAATGTTTGGTTTGGCATAAGTATGGGATGTGTGTTAAAGTATATGTATTAAAGTGCTTAAGGGAGGTGTAGTCACTCATATCCAAATGTATCCTACCCGACCCGCAACCTACATTATAACCAATGAAAATCCTACTTGATCTTAGACTGAATGGACTCGATTAGTAGAGTATTACACTACGGGCAAGCCTATGGTGCATCATTTGTGGCATATGAATGTTATTTTTGAGAGCGAGTAAATTTTGTCTATCTTGAGTTCCTATGTTCTTAAAATTCATTGTGTGTGGAACTAAGCTCTTTGATTGGGTGAGGGCACATGATTCATAAAGGAAAGGTAATGTTATTGACATCCATGTTAGAGTAAGTAAGTGAATTGTGAATAAGGCATGTATTTGTGAGTCGAATCTTGAAGCGAGGATGTCACACTTGTGTGCTTAAACTATTTTAAAAAATTCTTGGTGTAATGAGTTAGAGAATTGCTTTAAAAGGTTGTATCTATAAGTGTAGTTTGATTGCTCGAGGACGAGCAATGTTTAAATGTGGGGTATTGATGTGTGGCTATAATTCCATAGTTTCGTACATTATGTGCCTTGTATTTTGCATGTTTTAATGATAAATTACACTTTATTTCCGCATAATAGAGTCTATTTTATGTGTAGGTGAATTAGGGATGAAAGTAGAGCAAAAAGGATACTTAAACGTTGAAAGTGTGCTTGAGAACAGTGAAAAGGAGAGACCTGGCGAGGCCAGCCAAAGGCCAGCTTAACCAGGCTTTAGCCTGGCGAGGCCAGCCAAAAGCCAGGTTGAACCATGCGTTAGGCTGGCGCCTACAGGCCTGAGGCCAGGTCCAATCCGAGTTTTGAAGACTTAATTCATTTTCGGGTTTGACTAGAACTTGGCATACACGTTTAGGTCTTTTCCTACACATATAAATAGAACTAAAAACGCCACTTTTGAAGAGAGACCGAGATTGGATAGAGAGACCGACATTAGTCCGGGGATTCGACCTAAGGAGGAAAGAACACACTAGGAGCAATACGGTGAATTCTTCTACGAGTTTTCACTTCCTTCTTCCTATTTTCATTATTGGTTATGAATTCTAGTATTGTAGTTATGCATACTATTATGAATAGCTAATTTATTACCTAAGTTTTTGATGGAACCTATTGGAGGATGATTTTCTTGTTACGTTAATATAGATTTGCCGTAGTATTTTCTCTATTTGTTCAACTATATTATTCTTGTGGTT